AACAAAAATTGTCAAAATCTCATCCCGCGCGCTCTTGCGGATTCGTAGGAAACCCAACACTTTTTAAACATTTCTGTCAAACGGGCTTTTGCGAGCAACTTTTTCGAACTTCTGCAACAACGGTTGCGCACCTGCCAGGGCCATCATCCCTGTCAAATAATACCATGCGGGACACATTCGTTTTTTCTTCGCGCGCGCACGCCGAAATCTTCAAAAACCATTGTGTTTCTTAGGAATTGTAGCACCGCGCAACATAAAATCATACGAATCGCACCGTAGGTCCTCGAAGAACATCTGTACGAATTTTCAAAATTTGTACCAAAGCGCGCTGTCCGAATCTTAAAAAACCAATGGTTTCTCAACATTCGTATACTAATCTAGCGTCCAGAAAATGTTACCACAACAAGTCACTGTACCCATGCGCCAGTGTAGTAGCCACGGTCGTCCGCAGGCCACGAAGTGAAGTGTCCGAACGTCATAGGGCGGGAAGCTGGGTGTGGGTGGTGGCGAAGAGTCGTTTGGAAATATGGTAGAGCTTGAACCGGCCCCCCCACAAAGTGGGGGTATTGCCCGCCTCCTATGAAAACCCTGGCACTGGTGAGAACGGAGTATCCCCAGTCTTAAATGATTGTTCTTGTTGTTGTTGCTCTTGTTGTTGTTGCTGCTGCTGCTGCTGTTGTTGTTGACGATGATGATGATGATGATGATGATGGTGGTGGTGGTGGTGGTGATGATGATGATGATGATGATGAGGAGGAGGCGGAGGAGAAGGAGTAAAGGACGGGAGAGAGAAGGGAGATAATGGAGTTGGGAGGGAAGAGAGGGGAGTGGCGACGAGACGGGAAGGAGCACGAGGAGGAGGAAGAGGAGGAGGAAGAGGATGATGATGACGCTGCTGCTGCTGATGATGACGATGAGGAGGAGGAGGAGGCGGAGGAGGAGGCGGAGGAGGAGGAGGAGCAGGAGGAGGAGGAGGAGGAGCAGGAGGAGGAGGAGGAGGAGGACGAGGACGAGGAGGATGAGGAGGAAGATGATGATGATGAGGAGAAGGAGGAGCATGAGGAGGAGGAATACTAATATAAGCACCGTAATCGTAATACTCATACTGCAATAAAGAATAAGAGGAAACATATTAATTGTACTCGTACTAGTAGTAATAAGATTAAGGTGGCAATATAACATAACATACCATTATTAATGGTAGTGAGAAACAAGGTTGTAATAGTACTATTACGAGTAATAAGAAGTAGTATTATAATCATAGGAGTCAGAGAACTAATACTAGTAATACGAAGAAGACGAACAATCATAATACTAATACTATTACTGCTATTAGTATAACGAGTAATAATATCAATAGTAATTCGAATAAGAGTTATACTAACCAGAGTAATAGTGATACTTATAACAATGACATGATTCTCAACACGATAACTAATATTAACATTCGATTTGGTACTCATGCTAATACTATTAGTAATACTAGTCGTGTTAATCGCACATCTAATATGAAACATGAGAATAATAATTCGCATGATCGTAAGCAAAAGAGGAGAAGGAGGATGAGGACAAGAGGAGAGAGGAGAATGGAGGAGCGAGGAAGGATGAGACAGGAGAGAGGGGAGAGGCCCCCCCCTTTCGCACCCGTGGAAAAACGGTCCACGGAGGATGCCCGGACGCGCCACCTGCCGCGCTGGGGGGAAGTGGATCGAGACTTTTGCACCACATGTCCTGTGGAGCGAAACCATTATCTAGCTGCCCCCCAGAGAACCACCGACGCTGTGAAAAAAAGATACAGCCAGATTTTAACAATTTTCGGCCTCGGGGGCCCCCCGCGGGAACCAGTATCGCAAACAGCGTGCAAGGACAGGAATCTGGCCCTTTAGAAGTTGTCGGGGCTTCCGGGGGCTCCATGGGACCGCGCATTTTTCGGCCATCTAAAACCTCTCTGGGAAATAATGTTGGTCTTGTACGAGCCTTCTTAGGCCTCTCTTGAGACGCCTTCCCACACTCGTGGAGCCTCGTTGGGCCTATGCTGGAACGTTTTCGACCAATCAGAGGGCTGCACGAACGCTGAAGACGAGAGCTCTGGAAGGCCATCTCGCGCCCTTGTGCGACCTTCTCGGACGCGTTCCAGCGACGTGCGAGGCGAGTTGTCCTAGAACCGAAGCGCTCGCGAAACGCGCGCGATTGTTCTAGTAATTATTGTACATATAAATGTGTGTGTGTGTATGTGTGTATATGTGTATATATGTATGCATGTATGTAATTATGTAATGTATGTATGTATGTACGTACGTACGTACGTACGTATGTATGTATGTATGTATGTATATCTAATGTATACTATGCGTCGGTCATGCAGGGCGACGCGCGCGCTCAGAACATCTTATAGTATCGGAGGTGAGGGGGTGAGATCGAAGTGGAACGGAGAGCCCCGCTACCGGGAAATCGGTTTTGGTTTTGTGCCGTGCCGTGCGTGCGGGCGAGGCGAAGCTGCGTGGACGGGCGAGAAGAAAGTCTCCTCCAGCTGAGGCGCGGCCGGACCAAATGATTCCTTTCCGTGGGCCGGTGGCCCGCGGTGTCCCGCCGGTGTTCCGCCTCCGGCTGAGGCGCGGCCGGACCAAATGATTCCTTTCCGGGGGGCGGTGGCCCACGGTGTCCCGCTGGTGTCCCGCCGGTGCCCCGATGATGATGATGATGATGATGATGATGATGATGATGATGATGATGATGATGATGATGATGATGATGATGATGTCGATGATGATGATGGTGATGGTGATGGTGATGGTGGTGATGATGATGGAGTCCCGATGGTGATGATGATGGTGATGATGTTGACGATGATGATGATGATGATGATGATGATGATGATGATGATGGTGATGGTGATGGTGGTGATGATGATGGTATCCCGATGATGATGATGATGATGTTGATGATGATGTTGCTGATGATGATGATGATGATGATGATGGTGTCCCGATGATGATGATGATGATGATGATGATGATGATGATGATGTTGACGATCCTGATGATGTGGATGATGACGAGATTTTGATGAGATGATGATGATGATGATCATTTGGATGAGGATGATGATGATGATGATGATGATGATGATGATGATGATGACGGTGTCCCGATGATGATGACGAGGTTTATGATGATGCTGTTGATGATGATGGTGATGATGATGATGGTGTCCCGATGATGATGATGTTGATGATGTTGATGATGATGATGATAATGATGATGATGATGGTGCCCCGATGATGATGCTGATGATGTTGATCATGATGAGGTGGTGCTGATGATTTTGATGATGGTGGCCCGATGATCCTGATGATGATGCTGATGTTGATGATGATGTTGGTGTCCCGATGATGATGATGATGATGATGATGATGATGATGATGGTGTCCCGATGATGATGATGTTGATGATGATGCTCGTGCTGATGATTATGATGGTGTCCCGATGATGATGATGTTGATGATGTTGTTCATGGTGATGATGATAATGAGATGATGATGATGATGATGGTGGTGTTTCGGTGATGATTATGATGATGATGGTGTTCCGATGATGATGTTGATGATGATGATGACGATGATGGTGTCCCGATGATGATGATGATGATGATGATGATGATGATGATGATGGTGATGATATTGCTGATGATGGTGATGAGGTGATGATGATGGTGATGGCGTTCCGATGATGATGATGATGATGATGATGATGATGACGCTGATGATGATGATGATGATGATGATGATGATGATGATGATGCTGACGATGATTTTGATGATGATAATGATAGTGATGATGATGATGATGATGATGATGATGATGATGATGTCGATGATGATGATGGTGATGGTGATGATGATGATGATGATGATGATGATGATGATGATGATGATGATGATGATGATGATGATGATGTTGTTGATGACGTTGTTGACGATGATGTTGATGATGATGATTATGATGATGACGTTGATTGTGAAATCGATTGTGATATCGTCAGTGAGATCGATAGTGGGACCGAATGTGAGATCAACTGTGAGATCGATAGTGAGATCGATCGTGAGATCGATTGTGAGATCGATAGTCAGATCGATTGTGAGATCGATCGAATGAAATAGATCGAGTGAGATCGATTGTGAGATCGATCGAGTGAGATCGATCGAGCGAGACCGATAGTGAGATCAATAGTGAGATCGTTAGTGAGACCGATCGAGTGAGACGTTGGCCCCTCCCCCCCCGAACCTCCTTATCACCCGAAGGGTGGTCGTATAGGTATGTTCGGTGGTGAGCGCTTTTTGGCCATGCCCCAGGCAACGGTATGCTATAAGGTTGGTGTGCTATGCTTCCGGTTTGGACGTGCGCCTCCAAGGGGGGCGCACAGTACTAGCACGTCCCTCTGCGTCCCGAAAGGGGGGAGGGGGGCAGCGGGTGGGGGTCACTCTAGAGGGGGACAGGGGGGATCGCAAGAGTGCCGGGGCCCTACTGGGCCGATCGGCTGCACGTGGTCACGTCGGCTCGCGCGCCACCCAGGGGCCTCCGCGCCCTCCGGCCCGCCCCCTCCTTTACGGGGCCCATAAATATACGCTACCACCACCTCCCTCACCCCTCCCTCTCCCAGGAGAAAGGAGGGGAAGAGGAGGGTAGAGGAGGAGGAGGGTCGAGGAGGAGGAGGAGGAGGAGGGGGAGGAGGAGGAGGAGGAGGAGGAGGAGGAGGAGGAGGAGGAAGAAGAAGAGGAGGAGGAGGGGGAATGGAGGTGGTTGTGGTGTATCTCCTTGGGGCACGCAGCCCGCGCCCTCGCTCTGGGCCTGCCGTGGGCTGCCCACCGCTCCCTCGCAACATCTTGACGCTGTCGCCGTGGCCGCTGCTCGCCTCCCTCTGTGGCTCGGGGGGGGCCCGGAGGGGGGGGAGGCGTCTGCGTCGTGGTGCCCCCGGGCCACTCGCGCCTGGGGCCCGCTAAGGACCTGCGAGAGCGGAACATGAACGACATCTTCCGCCCTGTGGGAGCCAGGGCCAGTATTCAAAGGAGAAAGGTGCACATGCCGCTACCCTTTGCCTCGTTTTCGCACTTTCGTCGCCACCGCTGGATTCGCCTCGAGGTTCTGGTTAGCACGCGCCCCAGGAGAGGTCTGGGGAGGAGCGGTATCGGTAGCTTCTAGTCTTCCAAGTATCGTTTAGCATTTTACCATCCCCACTGGGCCATGGCACCCCAGCCCCACCAGCCCACCACCCCAGTTGGGGATGAGCTCCTCGCAGTCCGAAGGGAGCAGCGTATATCCCCATCTGGGGGGGCAAATCGGCCAGGGGGGCCCAAGCCACGCCAGTGGAGACAGGGATCGGTTGAACGATGCTCGCAGGGGGGAGGGTGGGCAAACTCTGCACCGTCGGGCGTTTGGTAGCGGAGGAGGAGGAGGAGGAGGAGGAGGAGGAGGAGGAGGAGGAGGAGGAGGTCGTCAAGATGGGCGGGGGCGGGGGTCGGAGTCTGCGGGCAAAGGGCCCCAGAGTGGCCCTTCGAAGGGGCCCCCCTGGGGCTCCGAAGGTGCACGAACGGCGCGCCCTTTTTCCCCCTCGCGTCGTGGGCCCAAGATTCGGAGAATGATAGACTTCCTACCCTGAAACGTCGATTAGCGGATTGGCCGTTTGTGGTTCGCGAGAGGGCGTCGCGGCCGTCATTTTTGCGGGTCCAGGCCCGTCGGTCATGGTCCCAGGCCGCTTGCACTAAAGGGAGGTTTACCAAAGGGAGGCTTGTCCACCGCCGAAAGATCGGCCAGCGGCCGGGAAGTACGGTGCAGCAAGACGCTGACACGAGGACCACTTCGGGCTCGGGCGGCTCTGGTTGTTGGGCCGTTCCTGAGATCTGGGTCGGCGAACTTACTCGAAGCCGAGGCTGGCCGTGGCCAGAAACGCCCATCGCTCCTCATTTGGTGTTCCGTGTGGTAAGTGCAGGACTCCTCCTGATCTTGTCTTGCAGTAGTGCGTGACCACGGCCGTCTCCGTGGACTCGTGTTGTTTTGTGTTCGTATCCGTGCATTGCTCCTGATCTTGTTTTGCAGTAGTGCGTGACCACGTCCGTCTCTGTGGACTTTTGTGTTGTCTTGTGCTCGTGCCCGTGCACTCTCGTGCTCCTGTTGCTCCCTTTCCCTGCATCTCACATGGCCCACATGCCCTGCGCCATGGCGCCCCCCTGCAACGTCCCAGCCGGCGGCGGCTGCAGGTCCGCTGTGCCGATGTTTCGATGCACGGCAGCACGACGACTGTACTCCGATCTGGGGCCCGGGCCCAAGGTACCCCCAGGATTCTCGGGGTGGCCCAGACGGCCTCCAGGGCACCCCTCACGAGGCCCAGAGGGCCCTCACGGGGCTCCAGAATGGTGCGACAGGCTGGGGGCGCCTTGGGCCATGGGGCACTTCTCTAGCAGCACCCGAATCTTTACGGGCTCGGTCCGGCCCGCTGCCACTGCACAGCCGACGGAGCCCCCCCCCCCCCAGGAGCGGGCTCCTGCACGGAGCGGTGCTGCCGCCTGCTGGCGTCGCTGACCAGCTCGGGCTCGGCGGGGGCCTCGGCGGGCCTCCCCCGCAGGGGGCGACGAGGGGCAGCGTCAGGGGGGCTCGTGGCTCAGGGGAGGACGCATCGACCCCCTCATCGGGCGAGGAGGAGGAGGAGGAGGAGGAGGAGGGAGGAGGGTCGAGGAGGAGGAGGAGGAGGAGGAGGAGGAGGAGGAGGAGGAGGAGCACGGATTCGGGGGGCGTGGACTCGCGAGGGGCCCCGTTTCCAGGTGGGAGCTCGCGGATCCCCGCCGCCGAGCGAGGCGGCACCGGCCGCATTTTGGGGAGGGCTCGCGAATCCATGTCTGCGCGTGCCCGACCTCGGTCGCCCTCTCACCGCCGACATGGGGCCCGACAGCCCACCCCGCCCAGGAGCGTCTGGGCTCGCTGTCTGGTGCCCAGATCCCCGATCTGTCGGCGAGGTCTCGCCGATTCCAGGCCGATGTTTCCCCCCTGAGCCGGTCCCTCCTAACGTTTCCCCTTCTGAGGAGAGGGCGCCCCCCACTTCAGGACGTCGCCTATCCAGGCAAGGGGGCTCGGCGGACCGCTGGGAAGGCTGAAGGTTGTTAGTAGCTTGAGGAAGCTACCCTGAAGATCTTCTTTCCCCTCCCCCTTCGCCTTCCTCCTCCCTTTCCCTCCTTTCCCTGGCCTCCCAGTTTCCCAGCCCTCCCCGCACATTTTTCTTCTCGGAGTGCGTAGCCCATCCTGGCACCCCTCGTTGGAGCCGGTTCGTTCGCCCCCGCCGCCTCCCTCCCGGATCCTGCCCATCGCCCGCACGCACGATACGAACGCGAAACCGAAACCGAATTCCCGGTGGGGGGCTCTCCTTCCTTTGCCAAATCCCACCCCCCAACCTCCAATGTATGTGTGCATGACGGTGTACGTAGGGTATGTATGTATGGATGTGTGCATGTATGTATGCATGTATTTATCTATGTAGGCATGTATGTACGAATGTATGTACGAATGTATGTATGTATGTATGTATGCATGCATGCATGCATGCATGCATGTATGTATGTATGTATGTATGCCTGTATATATGCATACATGCAGGCATGCACGTCTGCATGTATGTAGGTACGTACGTATGCATGTATGTATGCATGCATGCATACATGTACGCCTGCATGTATGTGTGTATGCATGCTTGTATGTCTGTATATACGTTCATATTTTTGTTTACGTATATGTATATATATATATATATGTTTGTGTGTATGTATGTGTGTAATGCAGTATGTATGCATTATGCATGTATTCATGTATGTATGTATGTATGTATGTATGCAAGCATGCTTGTTTGTACGTATGTGTGCGTGTATGCATGTATCTCTGTATGTATGTGTATATGTATGTATGTATGTCTGTCTGTCTGTCTGTATGTATGTATGTATGTATGTATGTATGTATGTGTGTATGCATGCATTGATGTATGTATGCATGCATGCTTGCATTCATGTATGTATGCATGCATGTATGCATGTATGCTTGTCTGTATGCATGTGTGTACATGTGCATTCATGTATGTGTATGCGTATATGTATGTGTATGTTTGTGTGTCTAGATATGCATGCAGTTATGTGTTTGTGTATGGGCGTGTATGCCTGTCTGCCTGCCTGTGTGCCTGTCGGTATGTCTGTCTGTATTTATGCATGTATGCATGTCTGTATGTATAGGTGTATGTACGTATGTATGTGTGTCTATCTATATATATAAATATCAATATAGTTATGTTTCTATGTATGCACATACACATACATATACATATATATATATATATAGTCATTTGCATACACACATACATACACAAATCGATACATACGTGTATATGCATATGTGTATGTATGTATGTGCTCATGTATGTATGTATGTATGTATGTATGTATGTATGTATGTATGTATGTATGTGTATATACACATATATATATATATATATATCGCCATAATGGGCTTCGCCCCATGCTGCCGGTCACCTCTCTATCACAATGGGACCTATAAGAGTCGCGTCGGTGTGTCTCGGCGCTGCCTTGGCGCATCTTGGGACATCATGCGGGGCCGGAGAGGAATCATCAGCGCATATTGAGACGTTGATGTTATCGAGGACGCCTGCGGCGAATCACCGCCTCCCCCCGCCTTCTATAATCGCCCATGTGGCCGAGCGTTGTGGCAAAAGCTCTGCCAAGGTATCGGGCCATGTGTTCCCCCAGCCGTTGTGGAAACCCGCACTTGGGGGAGGATAGCGGGGAAGATCAAGAGGAGGTGGAGGAGGATGTGGAGGAGGAGGAGGAGGAGGAGGAGGAGGAGGAGGAGGAGGAGGAGGAGGAGGAACAGGAGGAACAGGAGGAGGGGGCACCTTGGGAGCCTCTGGGGATACTCTTGGGGCCTCCTGGGAGCTTTCTGGGAGCCTCTTGGACCTTTGGGGGCTTCTCGGGGGCCTCTTTGGCCGTCTTGGTGGGCTCCTGGCCCGTCTGACGCCGTCGGAAGCCGTCTTGGGGGCCTCTCTGGGCCGTCTCGTGGCCCTCTTGGGGTGCTTCAGGGCCGTCTTAGAGGCCATCTCGGGCGTCTTGGAGGCCTCTTGGGGCCGCCTTGGGGGCCTCTTGGGGCCGTCTTGGGGGCCTCTTGTGCCGTTCTGGGGCCATACTGGAGACCTCTTGGGCGATCTTTGGGGGCTCTTGGCCCGTCTCGGGCCGTCGGAAGGCCGAGAAGAAGCAAATGTCAAAATCCTTCGAACATTTAAGGATAATCAATGACTTTAGCCTCTTCTGGCCGTCCTGGAGGCCCTCTTGGAGGCCTCTTGGCCCGTCTTGGGCCAGCTTAGAGTCAACTTCGGACGTCTTGGTGGGCTCATGGCCCGTCTGACGCCGTCGGAAGCCGTTTGGGGGACTTCTCTGGGCCGACTTGCAGGGTCGTCCTGGAGGCCATCTTGGGCGTCTTAGATGCCTCCTTGGCTGTCTTGGGGGCCTCTTGGGGCCGTCTTGGGGGCCTCTTGGGCCGTTCTGGGGTCATTTTGGAGGCCTCTTGGGCGATCTTGGGGCGATCTTTGGGGGCTCTTGGCCCGTCTCGGGCCGTCGGAAGGCCGAGAAGAAGCAAATGTCAAAATCCTTCAAACACCTAAGGAACATTAATCATTTTGGCCTCTTCTGGCCGTCCTGGAAGCCCTCTTGGAGGCCTCTTGGCCCGTCTTGGGCCAGCTTAGAGCCAACATCGGCCATCTTGGTAGGCTTCTGGCCGGTCTGACGCCGTCGGAAGCTGTCTTGGGGGCCTCTTTGGGCCGTCTTGTGGCCCTCTTGGGGTGCTCCAGGGCCATTTTAGAGGCCATCTTGGGTGTCTTGGAGGCCTCTGGGGCAAATCAAGGTTGTTGGCCTCTTCTGGCCTTCCTAGAGGCCCTCTTGGGGGCCTCGTGGGCCGTCTTGGGCCAGCTTCGAGCCAACTTCGAACATCTTGGTGGGTTCCTGGCACGTCTGACGCCGTTGGGAGCCGTCTTGGGGGCCTTTCTGGGCCGACTGGGGGCCCTCTTGGGGCGCTTCGGGGCCGTCTTGGAGGCCATCTTGGGCGTCTTGGAGGCCATCTTGGGCGTGTTGGAGGCCTCTTGGGCCGTCTTGGGGCCTTCTTGGGGCCGTCTTGGAGGCCACTTGGGCCGTCATGGGGCCCTCTTGGGGGCCTCTTGGGCGATCTTGGGGGCTTCTTGGGCCGTCTTGAGCCGTCGGAGTGCCGAGAAGAAGCAAATTCCAAAATCCTTCAAACACCCAAAGAAAAATCAATGATTTTGGCCTCTTGGAGGCCTCTTGGGCCATCTTGGAGGCCTCTGGGGGACCTCTTGGGCCGTCTTGGGCCGTCTTGGACTCTCTTGGGCCGTCTTGGAGGCCGTCTTGGACCATCTTGGGCGGACTTGGAGGCCATCTTTTTGGAAAAAGAACCAAAACCCATATTGTCTGGCACATCGGGCACCCCTTTAATAAATCAATGGGGGGCGGCGGATCGAAGACGCCTACGGCGAATCACCGCCGCCCCCTGCCTTTGTGGAAGCGCCTCTGTGGCCGAACGATGAGGCCAGACCTGCCAAGCCATCGGACCATGTGTTCCCCGAATCGGTTTGGAAAGCCTTCGGGGAACACGTGGGCGTCTTGATGGTCATCGTCGCCGTCTTGGAGGCCTCTTGGGCGATCTTTCGGCGATCTTTGGGGGCTCTTGGGCCGTCTCGGGCCGTCGGAAGGCCGAAAGAAGGGGAATGCCCAAATCCATCAAAAACCTTGGGAAAATCAGTGATTTTGGCATCTTTTGGCCTCCCTGGAGGCCCTCTTGGGGGCCTCTTGGGCCCTTTTGGGCCAGCTTCGAGCCAACTTCGGCCATCTTGGTGGGTTCCTGGCACGTCTGACGTAGCGCCTCCAAACAAGCCGTTTGGGGTTGGGTGTGGCCTATCGCTGGGCAACGGGGACCCTCTTGGGGCGCTCCACATCACACAGGGCCGTCTTGGATCCATCATTGGCGTCGTTGGAGCCATCTTGGCGTGTTGGAGAGCCTCTTGGCCGCTGGGGGCCCTCTAGCTAGGGGCCATCTTGACAAGAAACAACCAACCATCAGGGGGCATCTCGTTAGGGGCCTCTTCTTGGGCGATCTTGGGGGCTTATTGGGCCGTCTCGAGCCGTCGGAGAGCCGAAAAGGCGCAAATGCCAGAATCCTTCAAAAATCAAGGAAAAATCAATGATTTTGCCTCTTCGGACTCTCCTGGAGGACCTCTTGGAGGCCTCTTGGGCCGTCTGGGAGGCCTCTGGGGGGCCTCTTGGGCCGTCTTGGGCCGTCTTGGACTCTCTTGGGCCGTCTTGGAGGCCGTCTTGGACCATCTCGGGCGCACTTGGAGGCCATCTTGGGCCATCTTCGCGATTTTTTGAGGATGTTCCGAGCGAAACGGCCGTTTTTGGGCACGGTGGCGGGACGGGCCGAAGCCCACTGGGGAGTTCTTTTAGAAAAATAACCAAAACCAAAACCTGAATCATCCAGCACGCCGTGCACCCCTGCAAGCAGGGGGCGGCGGATCGAAGACGCCTACGGCGAATCACCGCCGCCCCCTGCCTTTTTGGAAGCGCCTATGTGGACGAACGTTGAGGCCAGACCTGCCAAGCCATCGGACCATGTGTTCCCCGAATCGGTTTGGAAAGCCTTCGGGGAACACGTGGGCGTCTTGATGGTCATCGTCGCCGTCTTGGAGGCCTCTTGGGCGATCTTTCGGCGATCTTTGGGGGCTCTTGGGCCGTCTCGGGCCGTCGGAAGGCCGAAAGGAGGGAAATGCCCAAATCCATCAAAAACCTTGGGAAAATCAGTGATTTTGGCATCTTTTGGCCTTCCTGGAGGCCCTCTTGGGGGCCTCTTGGGCCCTTTTGGGCCAGCTTCGAGCCAACTTCGGCCATCTCGGTGGGTTCCTGGCACGTCTGACGCCGTCGGGAGCCGTTTTGGGGGCCTTTCTGGGCCAACGGGGGACCCTCTTGGGGCGCTCCAGGGCCGTCTTGGAGGCCATCTTGGGCGTCTTGGAGGCCATCTTGGGCGTGTTGGAGGCCTCTTGGGCCGTCTTGGGGCCCTCTAGGGGCCATCTTGGAGGCCACTTGGGCCATCAGGGGGCTCTCTTGGGGGCCTCTTGGGCGATCTTGGGGGCGTCTTGGGCCGTCTTGAGCCGTCGGAGAGCCGAAAAGGCGCAAATGCCAAAATCCTTCAAAAACCAAGGGAAAATCAATGATTTTGGCCTCTTCGGACTCTCCTGGAGGACCTCTTGGAGGCCTCTTGGGCCGTCTGGGAGGCCTCTGGGGGGCCTCTTGGGCCGTCTTGGGCCGTCTTGGACTCTCTTGGGCCGTTTTGGAGGCCGTCTTGGACCATCTCGGGCGGACTTGGAGGCCATCTTGGGCCATCTTCGCGATTTTTTGAGGATGTCCCGAGCGAAACGGCCGTTTTTGGGCACGGTGGCGGGACGGGCCAGAGCCCACTGGAGAGTTCTTTTGGAAAAAGAACCAAAACCAAAACCTAACAGCTCATCCAGCACGCCGTGCACCCCTGCAAGCAGGGGGCGGCGGATCCTAGTGGCCTTCGGCCCATCCCACCACCGTGCCTGGGTTGTGGGTCTGAGGCCTCTTGTATGTGTTGGGGTGTCGTGGGGAGCCTCTCGGGGGCCTCTTGGAGGCGGTTTGGGCGCCTCTTGGGGGCTTGTTGGGGCCTCGAGGGGTGTCTTTCGGGCCTCTTGGAGGCCTCTTGGGTGCGTGTTGGGCGCCTCTTGGGGCCTCTTGGGGCCTCTTGGTGGCCTCGTGGGACCTCCTCGGGGCTCTTCTCGGGGCACAGATATCGAATGTTTGGTTCGTGGTCCCCTGCTTGGGCCCCTCTTGGGGCCGTCTTGGGGCCGTGGACCGTCTTGAGCGCTTCTTGGGCCATCTTGGAGCCCTCTTGGGCCGTCTCGGGGCCCCCTTGGCGTCTTGGGCTGTCTTGGGGCGGTCTCGGGAGCCTCTTGAGCCGTCCTGGAGCGTCGGAAATCCGAGAATGCGAGAAGGCCAGAATCCTTCAAAAACCTTCTTAACAGCTACGATTTTGGCCTCTTGGGGCTTTCTCGGGAGGCCTCTCGGGGCGCTCTTGCGGCCTCTTTGGGCCCTCTTGGGCCGTCTTGGAACCATCTTCGGGCGCCTTCAGCACTCTTGGCTTCGGCAATGCGGATGTGGCGTAATTTGCAGAAATGTTCATGGCTTCGGAGACGCGAGTATTGTATAAGTTACGCGGGTTTGTTGCCTCGGGGACGCAATCGGAGGTTGGGGGGTGAGATCGAAGTGGAACGGAGAGCCCCCCTACCGGGAAATCGATTTCGGTTTCGTGTTCGTGCGTGCCGTGCGGGCGAGGCGAAGCTGCCTGGGCGGGCGAGAGGAAAGTCTCCTGTGGCTGAGGCGCGGCCGGACCAAATGATTCTCCGCCGGGCGGCCGGTGGCGCGCGGTGTCCCGCCGGTGTCCCGCCGGTGTCCCGTCGGTGTCCCGTCGGTGTCCCGATGGTGATGTTGATGATGATTCTGATGATGATTATGATGATGATGGTAATGATGATGATGAGATGATGTTGATGATGGCGATGATGATGATGATGTTGATGTTGCTGATGATGATGATGATGATGATGATGATGATGATGATGATGATGATGATGATGACGACGTCGATAGTGATATCGATTGTGAGATCGGTTGTGAGACCGAATGAGACAGCGAATGAGGTCTTCTCTCAGGTTCTCCTCCACCACGCACAGTGTTGCGCCGCTTCCGGGGCCGATCCACGGTGCAATGTCGCGCCGCACCGAGGCCCCTGAAGGACGTAGAGAAGGCCTCCGTATCTTGATTATTGTTTCTGGAGAGCCCTGCTCGCGTTCGGGCCCGTGCCATCTGAGTAGGGGCAGAGCAAGAGGTATATCGAATGCTATTAGGGGGACACGGTGTATGCCAGGCTTTGCCAGCGCTTCGGTATTCTCTGACTGCATGAGGCACGCTTTCGCTGGGCTTCCAGCCGTTTGCGCTGTTTGAGCAAGGGAAAAAGAGCTATGATGGCGGTACATCGGTCTCGACCGCCGAAGGGCAGCCGTTGAGCAATATTTTGAAGCGATTTAGTCAGTGGCGACAAGAGGGGCTTCAGCAGGCCTCCGACAACAAAAATCTCCACTGGCATCGTCAGGAAAACAATCACCACTGTTGCCCATTGCTCGGCCCCTCCCCCCCCCCCCAACCTCCTTATCACCCGTAGGGTGGTCGTATAGGTAATTGTATAACTTACGAGGGTTTGTGGCCTCGGGGACGCGAATGTCGCAGACTTTACGAGGCATTATGGCATCGGGGGCGCGAATCTGATGTACTTTTACGTCTCCCACGTGCCTCTGGGAATTCAGAGCACGCGATCTGGGCGTGGTAACTGGGTCCTTTGGGGCTCGCCCCCCTCGCGCGGACTTAAACTGTTGAAGATCGCTGCTGCCGCATTCCCCTGTCTCCCTTCCCGCTGCCGGTTCCCGCGAAAGCTCTCCCGACGGAGGGAGGGCCCAGCTTATTTACTGGCCCCACCCGCGGGGCCTGAGCGCGCATGGTGAAAAACATCACCACATCGCCAGCTGTAGCGGAGCTGCTCTCGAGCGGTTTCGATCCACGGCACGGGGTGCCGTCGCGGGCTCGAGCGTGTCCACCGAGCGGGACATGGACGCCTGGGGTGCGGCCGTCCGGGCGCTGGCACAGCGTGCCAGAACTAGAGATAGTCTGCGGGCCTGGGGAGGAGGAGGAGGAGGAGGAGGAGGAGGAGGAGGAGGAGGAGGAGGAGGAGGAGGGAGGGGAGGAGGAGGAGGAGGAGGAGGAGGAGGAGGAGGAGGAGGAGGAGGAGGAGGAGGAGGAGGAGGAGGAGGAGGAGAGGAGGAGGAGGAGGAGGAGGAGGAGGAGGTGCGGGTCGAGCGCGGCGCGACGCGGCCCCGGAGCGCACTCTGGAGGAAACTGTCGCGGGGCGAGGGCCCCTTGCAAGGAACGCGCAGGGCAGCGACGGCGCGTGGGGGGTCCGTGGAGCGGATGGACTGCGGTCGGGGCCATGAAGATCACCACCCACCAAGCCACCCCAACCCAACCCGAAGGCCCCGATTTGCCCTCCATTTTTAGTGTGGGGGGGGGGTCGGGGAACATCGAAAAAACACACATGAAGCCCGTACCCCCCCCAACCCGAAATTCGGGTCTTCGGGTTGGGTTGGGGTGGTCTGGTAGGTAGTCAGAAGAAGGAACCCTTTTCGTTGGGGGGGGGCTCGGTGTTCCTTGATCGTTCTGCCGTTTGCCTTCGGTGTTCCCGAGGCGTTCCATGGGGAACCGACGTTCAGCTGACGCGAGAAAGGGGCCTCGTTCCTCATTTGTAGTTCCTTAGGTCAACGCCCCGACGGTGCGCGCGGCCATCCGTGGACCGAGTGGGACGGCCACTGGTCTGGGGAACGGGATCGGTGGACTTCCTCCCGGCTGACGCCGGGTGCGGCGACCATCTGGCGCGAGCGGGCTCCAGAGGCAGAGTCTGACCCGAGCTGGGCCTGGGTAGGCAGCGAGTGGTCGGATCCCTGGAGCTGGGACGGCTGGTGCGGCTGTCGTGCCGTCGGCGGAGACGTCGGGGACGGTGACAGGCGAGATCGTGGAGACGAGAAGTACGTTCCTGAGTGGGATGGGAAGTCAATGCAACTTCGCCCCTACGAGCGCCCGGTGCGGATCTTCGCCCACCGCGGGGCCCGAGAGCGCGTGGTGAAAAAGATCATCTCGCCGACGTGAAATCTACAGCAGGAAGCAGGAATCGGGATTGTAACATGGGATGCTTGAAACTGCAACTGGCGCAGGGGGCAGCCCGCTTCGTCCTTCAGCCTGGTGGCCCCGCGCGGGGGCCGGCGGACAAACGTGAAAACCCCGGTTGCGCTGGCACCAGCGGCCTTTCATCCTCCCCTGCCCTGCCCGCCCTTCCCCTGCCCCTTTTTCGTTCTGGCCTTCTGCTGTTCGGCCGCGGTGTGGGGCCGCCGTTGCAGCTAGCTTCCAGTCTTCTTTGTCATGGCCTCGCCAGCTGTGCCAGAGTGTCGCGGCAGCACGGGTCGCCGTTTGAATCCCTTGCGCTTGTCCCCCCTCCCGCTCCCGCGAGGCGAGCGCCCTCCGGCCGAGAAGAAACAGAAACACAGAGAGAGAAGAGAGAGAGAGAGAGACAAAGAGATAAAGAGATATATATATAGAGAGAGAGAGAGAGAGAGAGAGAGAGAGAGAGAGAGAGAGAGAGAGAGAGAGAAAAAGAAAAAGAGAGAAAAAGAAAAAAAGAGAAAAAGAGAGAGAGAAAGAGAGAAAACAAACAGCCGTCCCGCCCAGGCGGATATTCCCGAGCAGCCGCCGCAGGCGACGGAGCTGACTGGCAGGATCAGCGGGGGCGCTCGCCAGCCCCGGCGGGGGTCACGCGGTTGGCGCCAGACGGAGGGTTCGCCCGCAGACGGGGAGTCTCGAAGGTCACGCCTGGCCTTTCTCTTGGCGGATGCAGAGGATTTCTTTATGCTTCTCCTCGTCGGCAACTTAAGGCGGGAATAGTGTGGGTTTCGAAAAGAAATTATGGGGCCGTACGAGGCAACAATGACACGTTTTAGAGGAGAGGAAGATGCCGATATTGGTGCCCTGTTTGGATCTCCCGTGAGGCCCTCGTCGCCACCGTTGGGTTCGCCTCGAAGCTCTGTTCGGAACGGACCGCGGGAGACGTCCGGGTATAGCGGTGCACGCATTCGTTTGGTTTCCTCAGCCTCCGCCGCCGCCAGGGAGAGGGCTCCTTCCAATTGCCCAACTGAGCGACAGTAAAAAACGGGGTCGCCTTCACCGACATTGGCGCGTAAACTGCCCGCGTAAGATCGTGCATGACTGCCCTTGTTTCCTAGCGAACCCTGCCGCGCTAGCGGCCCGCGTAAGCTGCGGCGTAAGGTCGCCAGGTCATCTCGTGTAAGACCCGTTTCTGATCGTCGCCCATCTGAGCTGAGCAGGGCTCCACAACGCTCGGTCGACCACAGTGCAGTGCCAGGTTCTGGCAGCAGCTTCTCGGCCCCGGGGTCCAGCAGCGAGGCGAGACCCCCGGCGAAAGAGCACAGTCCCGGGGGCGGGGACCGAAAAGCTTGGGCGGCGCGCGTGGTGAGGACTGGCCGCGTCGCAGGTTCGGGAACGGGTCGTACAGAAGGGTACGGCCAAGAGACGGCGGCGAGTAACCGAGGCCTCCGACCCGTCAGGGGAGTCGCTCCCCGCGCCTCTTCTTCCACACTGCGGGGCAAAGTGCTCCCCCCCAGTTTTTTGTTGTTGCTGTTTATCCTCTGACACGGAGCGGTCACGACCTGGGCCCCCCCTCCTCCGGCCTTCCTTCCCTGGTAACGGGAACGATGGTACAGTCGGGGCCCTGAAGAAGGAACCCTTTTGGTTGGGGAGGGGCTCCGCGTTC